GGCTACTCAATGAATAAAATTTATTAGATCATTTGTTAGATCATAATTATTAAAACCAAAAAATAGATAAAAGTGTATATAACACCATAATACTGCTGGACACAAATTATAAGACAAAATATTTTAAATTTGCATTGTTTATTGAAAATCAGACTAAAACTACTGCACTGTACTATAATATATTACAAAATAATATAGCTAAATTGTTCAATATAATTTCCCTTTGAAGTAAATGAAGGTCTTATTTGATGGCACAATGATTTAGTAATAATGTGCTTGTGCCATGCATCTTGTCCAGATACAATTTTGAAAGCTTCAGTAAATTATAAAATTTATAAGGCTGTACCATGGTCACCGTAATGAAATTCCAACGCTACGATTTTGAGCCTAAACATAATCTTTAAAACTTATCTCCTCAAGAAAACGGTTAAGATCTGTGAAAAATACTTTGTGTCTTTACTTATCATATATTTCTTTATATATATATATATATATATATATATATATATAGAGAGAGAGAGAGAGAGAGATAGATAGATAGATAGATAGATAGATAGATATTACATCATAATATAGTTAAATTGTTCAGTATAATTTCTCTTGAAGTAAATGAAGATCTTATTTGATGGCACAATAAATAATGCGCTTGTGCCATGCATCTTGTCCATATACAATTTGTAATTATTTCTAAGGTTTTCATTGATCACCGAAATTAAATTACAATGCTATGATTTTTGACATAAAGTTAATTTTTAAACTCATCTCAAAAAACGGTATGGACATAGAAAAAACATTTTGTGTTGTTATTTATCATATCAAATTTCAATTTTCAAATTGAGTGCAATACCACAGTTCAACAGTTTATTGCAGCATACCATTGAAAATGTTCTAATAATAATAATTATATTCAATGTAAGGAATGATTAACATTTGCAAATAATTATGATATAAATTCTATAAATAGAAAGTTTCTTAACATTAATTACATGCCACTCAAGGTGGCATTTATGTGAACTATAATAATGAAAAATAAATAATATGTATATATTGTATGTTTGTTTAGTTTATCTACAAGGTCAGGTAGTTTTACAAGGATATAATAATAGAGTCTGTTCAGTATATCATAAATATGTTGATTGTTTTGGTAAAGTACTCTTGAAAGAACCAAATTCAAGAAACTCTTTAAGAAAAGACAAGTTAAAATCCCATTCAGAGTGGAATACATTTGGTATTTCAAATTCTTGCTTATAAAAATTATTCTTAAAAGTGAAACCACATTGATTGGTGATGAGTTGGCAAATTTTTATGATTTTAGATATTGGTTGTGTGGGGTTTACTTTTGTTTGTGAAAGATGTCTTTTTAAAACATTTAAGTATTTGTTAGCAAGAACATTGATATAAAGGGATTTAATTTCTAAAGTAGCTATCAGTTTAATCTGTCATATATTCTTACTCTATGATCATTTGAAAACCTAGTTTAAATATTTATTCAGAGGGTACTGGAAGAGAATTTGAGTGCAACGTCTTTTCCAGTATCATATAAAGTGGGATCCAGTATATAATTCAGAGGAGCCAAGTTCACATTTAACCTGAAATGACTACCTAGCCTGGCATGAGGATTCACAATTCACTTGAAAATATCTCAGCCCAGCTGCATCTAGAATGCTAGTATAGAAAGAGCAACATGACAGACATATAAACACCTACCCTAGAGAGAAGTTGGAGAGTTTCTTATATTGACCATTAGAATGTAGGGTACATGTTCAGATAAGAGCCCTTGGCTACATACACACACACACACAGACAGACACATTGGCAGACACTAACTAATGAAATCTGATTGATTTGTTTTTTTACAGTTTATCAATCTTTTGCAAGTTATTTAAAGCCAAAAAAAAATTTAAATTGTAAGAATTTTTTAGATAATAATGATTTATTGATACAAGTTCTACTAATTAACCCATAGCTGGGGGTAGAAGAGGTTTAAGTGAATATCACAAACCTGACAGGAATTGGAAATCGGAGAGCATATTTGAAATTCCAACATGTTATCCATTACACCACCCGCACATCCAAGCTTACATCACCTCGTATTCCCAAGCAGTCACCCTTCTAGGTAGAGGCCAGGCTCGATATTTCTTAACTTTGGTGATCATAAAAGAAACAATGTTTCAGCATGATATTGCTGTAAGCCTAATAAAATCAGAAGATGAAACATTATTAAAATATAATTAAAATAATAATAATAATAATAATAATAATAATTAAAAATGTTAATTATTATTTACATTATTGCAGACTATTATCTACATCTTTGTTGTTGTTATCAGATCATTTTGGTCATTGTACCCCCCAGCCTTCCTCAGGTCTATCAATCCTAGTAACCTACACACAATTTGGAACTGGACCCTTTATTTAATCTATGAGTGTAGACTGTTCTTGTTCAACTGCTTATGTTTCGGTATATTGTCTAGTTCTTAACAATAAACTATATCCGGCAGCAAGGCCTTTGACTGGGAGGTTTTGAGGAATGTGGAACTAACTCTTAATTGCTGTTGTTTCCAGATCCACCTTAACCCCAGGGTGGTAGCACCTGTTAAGATTCCAGCCATAACTGGGATCAAGACACTATGAAAGTATAAAAATAGATTTTTATAGTAAAAATACCAGCAATACATTTTAGAAAAAGAAATTTTCAGTAAAACATTTAACTCTCAAAACAAAAAAAAAACCCTCTGTATAAAAATGAAATGTAATTTACAAACTGATTTCTTACAAAGAATACATATTAAACATTTTGGTGGCATTAAATAACCCCTTGAGTTTGATATGCCATAAAATAAAATAAGCCAAATGAAACCAATCTAGTTCTTATTTTTATTTCGCATAGAAATAAATACAATATGGGAGTTACTGATAAAGAAAGAAAGACCAATGACAGTAAGTCTTCAACTGCAGCAGCAGCAATCATGACAGAACAGCAGCAACTCTAGCTGCAGTTGCAATCTAATCAGCAGGCAGGTTAGGTTTAAAGCTTCAAGTTCACAAATTGTCTTACAGGACAATGGCCTAGTAGAGGTTAGGGGATAGTAGATAAGTATTTGTGAATTTAGTGTCATAGTGTTTGTGAGTTCAATCCCTGGGTTTTCTTTTATTTTCTTACTGAAACCACCTGGCATCTCTGATATTTTTTTTTGTTTTTCTATGTAATCAAAATAGAATCATCCATTATTTATGACGTATTGGCAGGAGACATTAAACACTTCTATCTTTCCTTCTTTCTTTCTTTTATTTTCTCACTGAAACTAAGTAGTATCTTTTCCCTGCTTTCTATGCAATGAAAACATAATAATTATTTATGAGGTATAGGCAGGGCATAATGGTCGTGCAAACTAAGGGAGGGATGGACATGTACAATTATTATAAGATATTTTCGCAGAAAGGATGAAGGAAGTAAGCCTTTCTTTTAATAATATTCACCCACCTCAAGAGCCACCTAAGGTAGAGTTTTACTGAATGAGGTTGTTGTATGAGCATAAGATGCAGAGGTAAGAAGTACAGTTTTTGAGGATATGTAAGAAAGGTAACTACTAACCCTAGATTCAAAGAGGTTAAGATTTTAGTGATTAGGAAAGCATCCTCTTTAAAGACTCTTCCACAAATTAGCTGTTCTTGGGAAGAAACTGTCTGAGTGGAACTTTCTCCTTACTAATGGAATACAAAGAGAATGGGGATGGTTTGTCTTATCTGTGAAGAGCCAGAAATGATGAAACTAAGAAATGTAGCTTGTCAGAACATTTGCCATGGAAATAGCAATAGAATATCAAGTGTATTATGATGTTACTTCTGTTACAAAGAGGTTGTAAGGTGGAAAATAGTTCATCACCCACAAAGCTGTGTAGATGTTTTTTTTTAACTCTATCAAGACTGAAAAGTGACAACTGGACAGTTCCATTCTAGTTATGGCAGCAGTACTCCTGGTCTGATCTGACTCTTGTAAAGATAGCATATAGCTTTCAGAACATGGAATATAAAGGAATAAAAAAGACTTCAGGTTATTCCCAACATTAAAATTTCTGTTAAAATATAAGAGATTTCATACTGTAGAGAAAAGAGAATGTAAGGAGACAGCTAGATTTCAAAAGGGGAGTTGCAGACTGCTTTGAAAAGTAATAGGAATGTTCGGATAAGCATATGAAATTGCTAAGGACATTGTGAAAATGATTAATGTGCCACTACCTTAGGTAGGTTTATCCTTAACACTAAATAGCTGGATCATTTCCTCTGCATATCTTGTACATACACATTTATTTTCAAGTTATTTTTCGATAGATATTCTTGATGATCAGTACTGAATTAGAAACTCCAGCAAAAGCAAAAGCTAGGAATTTCAGTTAAGAACTCCAAAATAGCTTCTCCACTATTCTTTTTATTTGAAGCCATCGAACACAAATGCAGATATTTCTATTTTGAAATTCATCAAGACATTTAATTTTGTTAAGAGACTTGACCTCATATCTATAATTAAATTAAATGTGAATATGAACATTTTTCATTTTCTCTCTTTCTCAAAAAAAAGACCTTTTTTTTCATTCTTTTCTAAAATTTTTTGTTTCTTCATTCTTTTTAAACACTTCTTCATTCTTTAAAGCACTTCTTTCTTCATTCTCTTCTAGATAGTTTTTTCTTAATTCTCTTCCATACACTTCTTTTCTCATTATGCTATGGACTTCTTTCTATATTTTCTCACATACACATTTTTTTGCATTCTTTTCAATCTCTCCATTCACTTATTTCTGCTTTCCTTCCCGTACACTTCCTTTTGCTTTCTCTCCCATACAATATTCTGCTTTCTCTTCCATACACTTCTTTAAGCTTTCTTTCCTGTATACTTCTTTCTGCATTATCTTCCATACATTTCTTTCCACATTCATTTCTATACACTTCTTTCGGCTTTCTCTCCTAAACAATATTCTGCTTTCTCTTCCATACAGTACTTTATGCATTTTCTCCCATACACTTTTCAGTATTCCCTCCCAGACACTTCTTTCTGCATTATCTTCCATACATTTCTTTTTGCATCTATTTCTATACACTTCTTTTTGCTCACTCTCCCATACACTTCTTACTGTTTTCACTCCATACACATTTTTTTGCATTCTTTTCAATCTCTCCTTTTGCTTTCTCTCCCATACAATATTCTGCTTTCTCTCCCATACACTTCTTTCTGCTTTCTCTTCCATACACTTTTTAGTATTCCCTCCCAGACACTTCTTTCTGCATTATCTTTCATAAATTTCTTTCTGCATCCATTTCTATACACTTTTTCTCTCCCATACACTTCTTCCTGCTTTCTCTCCCATACACTTCTTTCTGCTTTCTCCTTTGTAAACTTCTTTCTGTTTTCTCTCCCATACACTTATTTCTGCTATCTCTATTGTAAACTTGTTGCTGCTTTCTCTCCCAAACACTTCTTTCTGATTTCTCTTCGATACATTTCTTTCTGCATTCTTTCACATACACTTCTTTCTGCTTTCTCTTCCATGCACTTCTTACTGCTATCTCTCCTGTACACTTCTTTCTACTTTCTCTTCCTTACACTTCTTTCTGCTTTCTCTCCCATACATTTCTTTCTGCTTTCTCTCGCATACACTTCTTTCTGCTTTCTCTATTGTAAACTTCTTTCTGCTTTCTCTCCCAAACACTTCTTTCTGCTTTCTCCTTTGTAAACTTCTTTCTGTTTTCTCTCCCATACACATCTTTCTGCTTTCTCTATTGTAAACTTGTTTCTGCTTTCTCTCCTATACATTTCTTTCTGCATTCTCTTCCATACACTTCTTACTGCTTTCTCACCCATACACTTCTTTCTGCATTAACATCCATACAGTTCTTTCTTCATTCTCTTCCATGAGCACCTTTTTTCTGCATTCTCTTCCAAACACTTTTTTGGCATTCTTTTCTAAACACATTTTCATTCTCTTCTAGCTCTGACTTTAAGAAAAAAAAAACCTTTTGTTGCTTCCTCTCTACTTTTATCTCTCCCATTTTCTCTTCAACTTTCCCCTTTATATTTTCTTTTCAAGAAAACTTTAATCACCTTTGCTGCTTCAAAATTATCTGAGCCTACCTGGTATTTAGGTTTCTCTCTCTTTCTATCTTTGGGGAAGAGATGAATCCATTTTTTTCTCCTTCTCCCCAGCTATTGTTTAAATAGTAGGACTTGTATCTTGAAAAAATCATTGTTATCTCCCAAAAATTGTTGATCAGTGACAAAGAGAGAATTATTCTTATAATCCCAAAATATTCTCTGGCTTTAAATAACCACCAGTGGGTTGATAAGCTGTAAAAAAACAAATCCATCAATCAAACAGCCACTCTTTATACAACTTCATCTCTGGTCCAGTCTTTTGCACCATTTTATCTATGAGAAAGCGATTGCAGGGCAAAAAATAATTCATCACTCACCCTGCCCCACAGACACATTTGAACTTTGTCAAGGTTGGAAAGTTTGAGCAACTCCTTCCCTGATATGGCAGCAATAATCCATTTTTAGTTTGATCTAACTCTATTAAAGATAGATCATGGTACTTTCTGGAGTGGTACATGGAACTGGCCATTTTTTCAGCATCTTTAGCAATGTATCATATATATGAGTTTCACTTAAGGTTTGTGATGAACTTGAGTCCAAATAACCAAAGTAAGGAGCCTCCTTGAGAGTACAACCATTTATCATGACTGGTAAGAAGTCAGGGTCAGTTTGGTGAGGATGAAAAGTTATAAGATATTAAAGTTAAAAACTGGTTTTTCCCTCATTGTGCTCTTAGCCATGCTCTGAAGAGAAATCAGCTGCTAGGCTCTGGTCATCTAGATTTTTGGATGAGCCTCATACACTGTTGTATCATCTGCATAGATATTTACTAATGATCTGAGAATGTTCCTGAGCAGATCATTAATATAAAGCAGAAAGTTGGGAAGGTCCAAAGAGAGAGCCTTGGGAGGATACTTGCATTGATCTCATGGGCTTCAGAATTCGACAATGAATTTCAGGATCCTACCTAATAGACTCTTCCAGAGATTCCATAGCTAGTGAGTTTTTGTAGCAACCCATTAGGTCACATCTTATCAAAGGCTGAGATATATAAGGAGATTGCTTTCTTGATGAATTTATTATCAAATGCCTCACTGATTCCGTGTGTAATGACATCTAGGATATGAGCAGTGGACTAAGACAGAGGAAATTCATACAGCTATTGCTCAGGATATTATTTTTATATGAGAGACATGCAAAAGAATATAAATGAGAAATCAAGGACTTGATTATTTAATATCTATATAAAAAATGTATAAATAAATTTTTCATCACTTTCAGCAAAACTACCATAAAAACATAGACATGAAAGAAACTGAAAATATATCAAATCTTCTTTCTATTTTTACTGGTTGTTAACTTATTAGTTCTAAAGCATGACTGATCATATTTGCAAACTTCCTTATTTGTTTTTCCAAGACAAGACAGTTTTTCTTTTTGCCAAACAAGACAATTTGCATCTTTCCAGAGAAGATAATTTGCTTCTACCCAGACAAGACAGTTTGCTTCTTCACTGACAAGACAATTTACTTCTAACCAAACAAGACAGTTTTCTTCTTCCCAAACAAGACAGTTTGCATCTTCCCAGACAAGAAAATATGTTTCTTCCCAGACAAGGCAATATGCTTCTTCCCAGACAAGACAGCTGGCTTCTTCCCAGACAAGACAGATGGTTTCTTTCCAGACAAGACAGTTGGCTTTTTCTCAGACAAGACAGTTTGCCTTTTTCCCAGATAAGACAGTTTGCTTCTCCCCAGACAAAACAATTTGCTTCTTACCAGACAAGACAGTTTGCTTCATCCTAGACAAGACACTTTGCTTTTTCGTATACAAGACAGTTTGCTTTTTCGCAGACAAGACACTTTGCTTTTTCGCAGACAAGACAGTTTGCTATTTCCCAGAAAAGACAGTTTGCTTTTTCTCAGACAAGACAGCCTGTTTCTTCCCAAACAAAAAATAGATTAATTGAATAAATATTATAAATTCTTTCAATTTTTTGTCTTGTTCCCTTCAAATTTTGATTTACATTTTAAAAATCAGCAAGATACAAATTCAATAATAAAACCCTCTTTACAAAAATGATTTGCTTCACACACACACACACACAAACACCCACACACACATATATATATATATATATATATATATATATATATATATATATACTCTAACACTAGACTCCAAAGACAGATTTATACTGCAGGGTTTATATCTTTCAGATATCTGCTTGGTATTTCCAACACTGATGATGTCACAAATGAAGAGGTGTACAGAAGAGTGAGTCATCCAATAAATGGCTATATATATATATGTGCTACACAACACAGAGAAGAGGCGGCTGAAGTGGTGCAGCTACATAACCTGATCACAAGGCCTCTTCAAGACCATCCTACAAGGAACAATGCAAGTGAGAATGAGAAGGGGAAACCAAAGAAAGAGATGAAAGGGAAGGTCAGACAGCATTGTCAAATGGACCAGTGAAAGTTTTGCCCAAATCTAAGCACTAGCCAATGACCAGATCAAGTGGATGCTTCTTGCTGAGCAAGCCACCATACAGCACTTCTACAACACAGGGTTTATGTGACAGAAGGAGGTGGGTATATATATATATATATATATATATATATATATATATAAATATATTATAAATAAATAAATATATGAATATTGTTTTTTGTCAAGTGTTGTATTTTTTTGATGATATAGCTGATAAGAATAGATTGCTGTTCATTTTTTATATATCTCCACATGGCAGCTATTTTTTTTTTTATTCGAAAAAGTCTTTATAAAATTAAAAAAAATATTTCATCTGACAATAGGTAATGTCAAACATTTGTTTGAACATTATGGAAAAAATATATTTTGTAAATTATCTAATGATGAAATAAATTTTGGTTACTGTAATAATCTGCTAAAACTTTCATATATGAATTATTCAATAAATCTATTTTATTAAAAGATCTTATATAATATTTCAAAAGTTTATTGTTGCTTTATCATTGTTTTATGTTTGCATAAGCTTATAATGATTCTTTTTTTTTATTTCTTTTCTGATTCTCCTTCCAGATGGTTAACTGGGGCAAGAAATGGCTTCTAAATTTGAATGCCACCTAAATGGTTTCATTTAATCACCACAGAGAACTAGATTCCAGGGCAGCTATACTGTTCACCTTCATGTTTTCCAATGACAATCGAATCAATTGCTATGTCTATTGCTAGGAAAGTTGGCACACTGTGTCATGCTGGAAAATTTTTCTCATAAGAATCTATCTTGTACATTTATAAATCTACCAATTGTCCATGCTTTGAATATTAGTCTGATGATCCTGATGTATATCTAAAGATTCTTGACAAAATTCAAAGAAGGACCTGTTATGTAATCGATCCTGAGCTGACATCTTGACTTCAGTCACTTTCTCATAAATGTGACATGGCTTTCCTTTGTCTTTTTACAAATATTTTTATAGTAAATGTTCTAATGATTTTTTTCCCTGGTACCTCAGCTACATAAATCTAAACATGCTACTAAATTGGCAACTAAGTCTCACCGTTTTACTGTTGAACTAATTAGATTCAGCCTAGATGTCTCTTCTTTTTTAAGAGTTTCCTTTTCTCGCATGACTCACCTGTGGAAATTCCTTATGATTTCTTGCTTCTCTGCAACCTAGAATCTTCAAAATTTTAAATGCAACATCAATCACCATCTTCTGTTTTCCTGATCCTGTTCCTTCATTGTGCTTTTCTTTACTTCTACTCACTAAAGTCGGATCATTCTCTTTCACAACCAGTAACCCCCTGTGTTCTCATCGTATTAGGCCTCGACTACATGAATTTAAGCAGGCTACAAGATTGGCAACTAGGTCTCACCATTTTAGTGTTGAACTAGATAGATGCAAATGTAAGTTCTATTCTAATAGTTTCTTTTCTCACATGTCTCATCTGTGGGACTCCCTTCCAATTCCTTGCTTCCCTGCCACCTACAATCTTCAAAAATTTAAATCCAATGTTAAACTCCATCTTCTGTTTTCCTGAAACCCATTCCTTTGTCCTTTCCTAATTAAATTGTTCTTATTCCCAGCAACCCTTTGCATTGTAATGGCATTATTGCCTTAAAGGAGTCGACCATAGTTGGGATCATTGAGTCATTGTGAATGATCATTTCCTTTGCTGCATATTATGTGCTTTGCCAGGGCTACAAACAGTTTTCAGAGTTTTCTTCTTCTAGATCGGTTGGCATAAAAGGCTATAACACCCAATCTGTCCTATTGGTTGGCATAAAAGGCTATAACACCCAATCTGTCCTACTATTTACCCATAGATGGGGGAGAAGATTTGGATTCATACTTTTCTCAAGGGTATTAGCTCCTAAGTGAATGTAATGAATTCAAATTGAAACTTGGTTTTCTGATTCCTAAATTCAAGCCGCAATCTATTATGCTCTTGGTGTGAAATGATTAAAAAATAAATAAATAAAAATATATAGTATAAATATATATATAGTATAAATATATCTAATATCTCCCAAATGCAATGAATGTTTTTATCAGACACTTTTCACTATGTGAAATGTATATTACAGTGACAATTACAAGGCAATCCTCCAGTATGACATTGAATGTTGAACAATTTCCTCACAGATGA